AATAAAGTAACTGAGCTGTTCCAGTACTGTCTCGTGGAGTTTCTTGGGCTGAACCTGACACTACCCCAGATTTACCATCTAATGGACACAGTCCAAAAGAAATCAAAAGCAAACATTAGAATAGCAGCTTCTTCTCTGATTGTGTTGGTCTCTCCTGTGCACAGCAGTTCTGTTTGGTATGATTTCATAAATACGGTAACCTGGCAAAAATGAAAGTTCATATATTTTGGAGTCCTGCCTCCCATACTTTTTTTCATGCAGCTGATATTTATTTGACCCCTCATGTAGTCAGTCCATCCTACCAGACTTTAGTATTTGGATCTCCAGCAGGACATGTAAGTCTCAGTACTTGCTGTTTGAGTCAGATGATTTTTTTTTTTACAAAAAAGTTTAAATCAGTGACAGAACAAAGTGTTCATGCCAAGTTGCATGTGTGTGTGTATGCTAAATCTGTTTCTTAATTCTTCCAATTCAGATGATTTAGCACTCAGTTTATTGTATGTATCAGTGGGAATGATGTATTGAACTCAGAATGTAGCCATTAAACACTGAGTAACTTCATAATTGCTTAGTGGTTCGTAGCTTTTTCACTGAAACAGGTTTCACAAAAGGAATGCTAGCAATATTGGATGAGATTGAAAGAAGCTTTTTTTAATGTAATGTTTGCTGAATGCCATTTGCTTTTAAAATATGTGCTCTTCTTTATTCGTCAGATTGCCCCGCCCAAAGCAGTCAAGGGCCCAGAGCAGCACAGCCAAAGTCTAGATGATGTCCGTCTCCACAAATGTCTTCATCCACCACTGAGTGCCATGTTATCTTCAGATACCTCCCACAGCTATACATTTGGTTGTGCCTTGGAGGATAAGCTAGCCAGCTATGGATGTGTGTATTCAACAGCCGATTGTAAAACTAAGTCAGCCCTCTATGGAAAGAGGTCCATGAACTGCTTATCTTTAGACCTCTTGGGAGAAGATCAGCTCCCAGAAGAATTTGTGGTGTAGCCACATGGGGGAAGCTCTCAGACCATCTTTTCAGAACATCTGCAAAACAATTGAATTACTGTTGTTGGAAACAGAAGCTGCTTGATATAGACATGTACACATACATAAGTATCTTTAACGCTTAAAATCTCACTGGAACATTTTCTCACTAAGAATACAGCTGGCAAATGACCTCAAATAGTGAATGTCCAGCCTAAAACACACATAAGTATTTCCCCCTAGTCTGGTGCATCAGACACTTTTTCTTCACCTGGTTTCAGTACGTATAATTTTGGGGGACATTGTTTTCTGAAAGCAGTCCACTGCCAGCAATTATCTCCTATGCCGAAGCCTGTTACTTCCATCATCCCTGGCTTCATCGAGAATAGAATATGCATTGTTTTTATAAACTCTTTTTTTTTTTTTAATACATGACTCGTCTTCCAACCTTTTTTAATTATAAACAACTTATTTTGCATATTTTCAACATGAATAAACCAATGTAGTTGGGTAAAATTGTTTTCAGGCTTTGTTTCTCCTTGTTTTGTTTACTTGTATCCTATGTAGGGAGATGTCCCTGTTTGTTAGGAGCAGCTAACATGCAGTAACGCTTGCAGGAGCTTGAACTGTGTAATAGAAATGTTATGTAAGAAACAGAGGTTATACAAATAAATGTTGCCCCTTTTTAGAAATGATCAGCAGGTCACTGATTAGGAAGTTTTGTACCGTTGGTGTAAGGGCTTCCCAGAGTTGTGTAAACGTCATCACCCCTATTTGAAGGATAATACAGTTCAGTGAATCTTGACATCTCATTGATTTGGGACTAGGTGCACTTCACTGTTTATATAGTTATTATTCTAGATGGAAGGAAAAACATTGTGTTTGATAAATCTCTTAACTACTCATTATTGTGAAAAGTTGGCTTGATAATGCTTGATTTATTTCACAAAGATGATGTTGCCATAACTTTTAGGAGCAATGCAAATGAGCTATTACACACTGTGTTTCTTCTGAGAGACAGTTCATTGCTTGTTAACTGTACCATCTATCTATGATGAGTTGATAGCATAGTGCCAGCAGGTCTGTTCTGAATCTTTTTTGCAAAAATGTGAGTTGGGGAATAGGGCTGGTAGCTGCTCTTTCCTCCCTCAGTGGCCCCTTATATTGATGCTGTGTCATAAAACATAGTCATTCCAAGGATGAGGTTGGAAGGGCATAGGAGTATCATGGCAGTAAAC